CGCAGCCAAGTTTACTGAGCATCCCACAGCCTGTCCTCAGCACTTCAACACGCGCATGCCTGCTCCCATGAAATCATAGTGAAGAACACAGTGAAGAAACACTTTCAGTCTGGACCTTTCATGGTGACAGTTCATCAGCCTAACAAAATCTGACTGTCTGGGTAATACCAACATATTTTATTTTTCCAGGCTCCCTGTACTTTAGGATTTCAGGATGCCCCAACCTTCTGCATGTCTCCAAAAAGCCTCAATTCAGATCAGTGTTTTCCTTCAGTGTAAATTCTTTGATCCCATTACAACCTATGAAGCTCCTGGTTTGAATCAGCTTTGGGTCTGGTCTCATGAGCGGGAACTGGAGAAGCCATCATTACATTCCACTCCATTTCCTCTCCACATGACTCCTTCCTGGACAGCCAGCAACTGTCCTTCTGTCTGTGCCAAGGACAGCACGGAGAAGGCATCCGTGAGCTCAGACTCACTGTCTGCATGACCTCAGGGCTGCTTTAACAGCTAGCAGACTATCTAACATGCTTTGTAGGGTAAGCACAAGATTTCCAAAGGAAAGGAGCATCTTGTATTGACTGCTGGACTTTCCCTTTTCCTATGAGAAACTCAAAGTTGAGTAGAATTAGTTTGCAGTGAGCCAAAACCACAGCAGACAATTACAGCCTGTTCCTGTGGAGAACTGAAGCAAATGGCTACCATATAGAACTAAAATCCCTTCCGCAGACTCCAGACCATCTATGCTATGGTTAAGTGCTGTTTGTGCATGAAGAGGTTAAGCAAAATTGCTAAGCTGCTGCAAGTCACACGCACTTTAAACGTTTCTACTTTCCACCAATAAAGGGTTCCATCCTTTTTACCAAAGGGACCAACTTTCTTGGCTTCCTCATTTGCACTGAGACTAACATTTCAGTGTGGTTGCTATCTTTATAAAAAGGTAATTGAAATAAATTTTCTACTCCCCATCAGCATCACAGGTCTCCTGCTTCAGCATTATTTCTAAAAATCTCTTGTCATTACTAACACTTTATCTCTACCACTGTGGAGCACTAAGCAATTGTTTAACTATGCAAAGTACTGGCAGTTGATTCAGGCTTTTCCACCGCTGTGCCAAGCAAACCTATCTTGGATTGTCTTAGATAACACAGTAGTTGAGGAAAAGCTGCAGCAAGCAGTTTTTTTGCTTTCCTTTTCCATATACAATCAGGCCTCAATCTCAGCTGCAAGTTATTTGTAAGCTACATTGGATTCAGTTGCATGGATGAAAGAACTGTTATTTTATGTCCAGAAGCCTCTAAAAAAATTCAAGAATCTATACTGATGCAATTGAACAGCACATGTTCTAGAGAAAAATAGACTCTAGACTCCAAAAATAGACTTCTAGACTCCAAAAATGCATTTAATTCCTACCCTAGTAAGAAACAGTGCTATCCACGTCAAGGAGAAAACTAAAATTGCAAGTTTGCTAGCAACCATTATTTGCTAGCATTAGAAAGAGATGATATTTCTGCCACGTCTACGTCAGAAGCCCACTACCACCATGTTGCTGGGTTTTGACCTTTCCAAAAGGGACAACACCCTCCAAGTTTGCAGTGTGATGCTTTGGCTAAGGGAAACAAAATTAAGAACTTTCATTCCTTCTGAGTCAGTTAACTCCCTATTTTAGAGCCAACTCATTTTAGCACAAACCTGACTGCTACAATAAAACTACCAAACTTGATGTTCTGTTCAGCTAACTGAGCTTGCTATCTGTATTTAAATGCATGCAATCCAAGAATTAAGGATGTAAGCATGAGTGTAATTGGTTTTATATTCCATTTTTGGGGGACCTTTCCCGACTAATGACTGTCAGACGCTTTCAAATAAAATCACCATCCCCACTGGGTATGTCCAGTCTCTAATACAGAGCACAAATTCCTCTAGCAACCTCCTGCTGTCTTTCAAGCTTTTCCTCTCAGAAGAGCAGAATAACAGGGACATGAAGAAGAAATCGTCAAGTCTTAAATACTTTGAGAATTATAAAAGTCAAACTTTTCCTGTTTGCAGCCCTTTTCTATTTTTTTCCTACCACAGCTACATATGCACATACACATTTACTACGTGTGCAGGTATGCTGGTACACACGTTTTTTGGAGAGGAACAACCCATAATAAAGCTTTGTGGACAGTATATTATGTACTCGTGCTCCCCCTACAGAAAAATAGGTGCTTTTGTCTATCTGATTCTCCCTGTTTAGCAAAGCAAAAGACGAGTTTAAAATTGCATTCTGTGGTCAAGAGAGTTAAAGGAAGTTGATACAAACCTGGTATATATTATCTGATTAGTGCCACGTAAGACAGTCTTTGCAGTATCTGCCATGATGAAAACACAAATTCTGAGGCATGCTTTGAGGTTCTTCAGCAAATAGGAATATAGCATTTATATGACTAAGACTAGCAGTAACTGCCATGAATGCTTTACAGACACTTTAATAAACTACACAGTAGTTCCAGACTTCTATAGTTGTGTAATTATGTCTAATAGATGTAAAAGTAATGACTACTCCTGGTAGACTACAATTTGGAGGACTGGACTACTACTCAGAGAGCATACCATTTAATAAGCTACTTTACTTCGTGGAGACTTGCAATTCACAACACGAGTACCCTAATATAACACGATCATTGCCATAGTAGAAGAGTTCACTTGCACTGGAACGTCACAGGGTATTGAATGATTATGCTTTGCTATTCCCACTATTTCAATAATTACCTTTTTTAGTCACTATCCCAATGTAAAAACAAGTTAGAAAGCAAGATGGTGGTCCTCACCCAGGAAAATGGCAAAGTTCTCTGTCTGCATGTTCCCAGCAGGCATGAATACAATGGACAAGATTGTGATCTACAGCCCCATTGTGATGCTCCCCATAAGCAAGAGAAGTTTTATGTCACAGTAGAGAAAGATAAGACCAACTTAAGCCTTAGTGGAGAAAAACATATACTCTTGGGCAGTTTGTAGATTTAGAGACTACAACAGAGAACAAAGATGCAAGTTTTAGGATTAAGACAAACAAAAAGAAAATCAAGAAAGAATAAACCTCAAAACTGGAATTAGAAGTACAGCACTGATAAATGAGCAGGGCATGCTACTGCTGTCTATTATAGTCTTTTGCTTCATGTAATTCCAAAGGCATCCCAACTCTTCAGCAGCCAGCAATCTCCTGGAAATGTTCAAAATGATTACCACTTTTCCCTAGACAGAAAAACAGCAAGCTTGGACTAAGAGCCAGTACGAGAAGCCACAGGACTAATGGACAACAATAATGCTGGCATAAAGGCTCTTGAAACAAATGTGACAGGGGGAAAAAGATGACAGGGACCCGACTTCAAAGGTGTTAACCCTCTCAAGCCCCTTTCATCTATGCATCTTTGTGCAGAGACTGTGTATTATATTTTAGAAACACCTAGATGCACTCCACGTATTTAACAAACCTGTAAGGCAGAATCAACACTCAACCTTCTCTTGCTTGGCGAGTTTCTAAGGCTCATGGCTAGACATCCTCCTCTTCATTGAAATCCTGACAATACGCTGAATGAAAGAGTCCTACTGGTCTTGGTTAAAAGCAACTGCAGCCTATTTAAAGCAGGAAAAGGACAGAACATCTTAAATTTTTTGATTAAAGTTACCTACTGTTAACATATGGTTTGGCAAAAAGAACTGTAAGAGTGTGCTAACCACACATTTCTACAGGATTTCAATACAGGTCTCAGAATGCCAACAGTTGTCTAGCAAGATTAATCAATTTTTAAATGTGGGTTTACCCTTTCTTTAAAATACCAACATAAAGATCCAGCAAGCTTCTACATTAATGGCTAAGGAGTTTCAGAGGCTTTTAATTTACTGCCATCTAGTGACAAGAAGAGCAGAGAGCCATACACAGAGCCTCACACGTGCTCACTGTCTGCGAGGAGTCACCTGTCCCTGCAGCAAGATTCAACTGTACCTCATAGCAATGAGTTCCACAGGTTATTTTTCTTCCCTTTCAGTTTAGTCAAGTGTCCTGCTCCTAGCAGATAAAATGGAATGCATTTTCAGGGTAGCTTCCTTGTATGCTGCAGAATGATGAGCCTAAGGGAGCTTATTCTTTTTCCTTCCTTTCTCTCTCTCCTGCTGGAATACAGACAGGAAAGAACTAAATCACACAGAACAGAAGTGAACTGCCTCAAACAGAAAAATCAGAGGCAGAACCCATATATAACATCTTCTGTCAGAGTTTAAAATAAACATCTATATTTTTCACAGCTTTCCTGACTGTCTTCAGTCATGTAAAACCAGCTGATTACAACAGGGTTGTCTCAGGAGCAAAACAGTTTTTGTAGTTAATGAATAATTAGCTCTAACTTTTACTGATACCAATACCTATATGTTCTGTATGACAGGGGTCAATTGTACAAAAAAGAACAATTTTTTATTAGCACAAAACAAAACAGAAAAAATAAGTATGCAGATGCAATTCCTGTCTAAGGCACATGCACACTGAGGCTCCAGATCAGTGAAAATTAAAGCTTTTTCAGACATATTCTCATCCAATTCCTATTTTACCATAACTCTGTCAACACCAGCCCTTCTATAGTAAGGCTATGAAAGAACACAATTTTGAAAAGAATTTTTCAAAATGCTTGTGTCATATAGTTATACTTAAAATCAGAAGAATGCTTTCACTTATCCCATCTCCCATAACCAACTGTTCTTACAGTACACTGTTCAGATTAGCCTTAAACAGCAACTTCAGAGATTCAGCTGCAGTCCAAGAGACCTTTGGTCAGGCATACAGTTGGGGGCATCAGCAGCGCAGGACTGTACACAGCAGTGCCAAATCACTATACAAGGCCTCGCACCATTCTTTTGAGGAGGAAAAAGCATACTGCTGTCAGGTTTGCCCTTGGAAAACTGTCACCAAAATTCAAAATTTTCTCCTACTAATTTCATCAAACTCAGAAAAAGGTTAAAAGTAATCCGCATACTTAAATATTTTTTAATTACAATTACAGGTTCAAACTCATTACAAGTGTTATTTTATCGCTTTGAACTTTTCAGAAATATCTTGGGTGTTTGCCATCCTGCAGGGGGATTTTTCAAACCAGCTCTTTTCCAGATGCGCTCCAAATCTTTCTCAAATTTCATCTAAAACAGAAAAACAAAAAGAAAGAAAAAACGGTAACACAGCTCAGAAGCAACACTCAAGTATTCAGCCACTGCCCATGTGTTCCAAGGAGAATCTAGGTATAAAGCACACAAAGGAAACAAATGCTTTTAAGTAGGCAGCTTGTTCTAGTTTGCTTTACTGCAGAAAATACATTAAAATACAAAAGAATCTCAGTAGCAGTATTTTAAAAGTCCTGTGCAAGGAAAATCAAGGAGATGGAAAACAAAACTGTGAGAAAATTAAGAGGATTTCCACATCATAAAGCGTTCAACACTGTTTCCTACAAATCTGAAGAACTGGAATTACAATTAACCCAAATTTGCACCTAGGCAAGGTGAAAATTATCAGAGAATGAACTAAACTATATCATAGCAAACCTAACAGACTACTGAAAGGCGGTGTTCAATGAGAACATCTACAGCTTGAATGAAGGCCCGTATCTTCCCTCACCCCATCTATTAAGGGAAGTAAAAGGCTTCTATATAGAAAAAGACAATAGGAAGCACTTGAGGATGTTGGCAAGACAGGAAAGAAATTAAGATTAAAACAGTCTCCCTGATACAATGCAGACACGTGAATTAATCTTTCACACAAACAGTAAAATTATTCTCCATTAGCCACATATAAGTTACCACTATGCAAGAAAAATCACACCTAGTAACTATCACAGATACATGTTTACAGAGAAATATTCTAAACTACAACTTCTGAAGATGTACACATCAAACACAAAACAGAAAAAGCTACTGTATCAGTATATACCGAATTCACTAAGGCTCTCTGAGCTGCTGCCATTTTTCCCCAAATAAATTCCACCTAATCATCTGATACCTGAACAAAGGCCAGTTTGAGAAGTGGGCACATTTATGTCAAGAAGTTCTCTCTACCGTGAGCTTACCTGACGTTTCTTCTTGCGACCTTCCTTTATCCTCCTCCGTACAAACTTTCTTCGCTTTAGCAGCTTTTTGAACTTGTGCCGATTCATTTTCCTTCTGCGAATCTTCAAAACGTTCTTACATTGAACCTGGTTGTTAAGTGTTCCCTCTCCTTCCCCCACATCAGCTCCCTCATCAGATGGGGGACAGTCATATCGCTGGACAGGTTCATAGCCCACTTCTTCCTGAGCATTAAGGACTTCTGCTTTAGGAAGGGAGTATCTAACTGTCAGCCAGCTTTCTAAGGGGCTGATGGAAAGTTTTCTGGGGATCAGCATCTCTTCCAGTTCAGGGTCCAGAGCATACCACCGCTGAGGCTGGCCTCCACTCTTGTTAGATGGCTGCGTGCTATAGTGCGCAGATGTAGAATGACAGCGAAGAAAGGAAGACACTGACCTTGGCAAAAGGGGGCCTTTGAGAAGAAAAGAATTTCACTTTAGAGGCAGAATTTTCAAACAGTACCTTCAGAAGTGCTCTGATCAGCTCTCAAACCACCAGACAACTGTGGCCAAAATAATCTAATGTAGCAAGCTACTACAAAAAATATATTCCCATTACAAAAGCACGGAAACACTTTTTAATTTTAATTTAATTATGTTGCCATAACATCACCTGCTAAAATTACATTTTACAGTATTTTACTGTGTTGACTGTGTAAGTGCAATTTGGAATGGCAGGGAACTGTTTTCTGCTACAAAGGAATCTCTTCCTAAGCTTAAAAGAGGTCAAATCAGAGCTACAAAATACTGACAGATTAGATCAGAGACATAGTAACATTCCACAACCACTGAATCAACAACAGCCTCACCACTCTCGCATTGCTTGCTTGAAAAGAAGTTTCTGGGAGCCTAATTACCCCAGTCAAAAAAACCAAACCAAACCAACAGAAAACTAGGTCACACATCTGTTTACCTGCAATTCGTGAAGCCTTCAGTAAGTTGGAAGTCACCTGTGATATTAACATATTGCTTCACTTTGTTCACTGTCAGAGCCAGTAATGACTGTTAAAACAAGAACATTTATTCAATGAGGGAAACACGTTGCTTAAAAAAAATATTCTAAGTTTATCCCCAAACCCCCCAAAGACGGGCTGAGACACTCTAAGCACCCTCCTCGTTTTACTGTCGGATTTTGCAGCGGGGGCCCGGCCCACAAGCACTGCTGTAGCTCAGCTGCAGGGGTGATTAACAAAGCTCCGGCTGTCCAAGGTCTAAAAATACGGTAACTTCAGTCCGAGTCCCACTGGCACACCGCTGCCCAGCTCAGTGCAAAGGCGTTGCTTCCACAGCAGAAACCGGAGCGCAAAAAAGGCGCCCGCTGCCCTCAGGCCGTAAAGTAGAAAAGGCGCC